CAAATAAAAAGTATCATGCCATCCATATTGCACAGTGGGAAATATTTTCAGTCTAGATTTTAAACAGGAAGTCATTCTTTTCATCTAAAGACATTTAAAATGCTCCTCTCATGGCCATGACACACAATGTTGACTAGAGAGGGCACAAACACACACAAAGAAATACTTCTGTACAGAAACACAACATGCTACTGACATAAGAGGACTCAAGCTAGAGGTACAAGGACCTACAACATCTCTGCCATTCTAAAAGATTATTGTTAATAGTAAGGCAGATGGCTAGAACAGAAAGGCTTCCATGGAAATTGGCCAGTAGACTTTTTACTTAAAGTCTGTACCTAAGCTAGAAACCATAGATAAACTGCAAAGAATTTGGTAAGGACTCTGAAAAAGTGGACATACAAAAGTAGACAGCACAAAGCCAGACAGTGTGGGGCATAAAAGAAGGTCCCCAGGTTGTGGAATTAAAACAGTTTGAATTTGAATGCTAAATATTTCCTAGACTGACCTGTTTGGTTTGTTAGTAGTTTTTTTTTTTTTTTTAGAGATGATGATCTAGAGATTGATTTGAGAATCTCCTTAGAATTTATAGTGCATGTAATATACATATGTGTATATATATGTATGCATATAATACCACATATGTATATATGGATATATACCGAGGGTGCCAAAAATGTATACATATATATTTTTTTTAGACAGAGTCTTACTATGTCACCCTGGGTAGAGTGCTATGGAGTCATAACTCCCAGCAATCTCAACCTCTTGGGCTTAAACAATTCTCTTGCCTCAGCCTCCTAAGTAGCTGGGACTACAGGTACCCACCACAATGACTAGGTATTTTTTGATTGTAGTTGCCATTGTTCTTTGGCAGGCCCAGGCTGGGTTCAAACCCACCAGCTCTAGTGTATGTGGCTGGTGCCCTAGCTGCTGAGCCATAGGTGCCAAGCCATACATATTTTAAGAAAAGAAAAAACTGTTATTAAAAATATTATACTTGGCTCGGCGCCTATAGCTCAACCAGCTAAGGCGCCAGCCACGTACACCTAAGGTGGAGGGTTCGAATCCCCAGCC